GTATATACATGATTTCGGAATTTTTACATGAGGTGTGATTATGCCCCTATATGTTTTTTAATTCTTTAAAAATAAATACATGTATGTTTACATATTATTTATACATTAAGTTTTAATTGTTGGCCCTCTACTCAGTTTGACTTACCTTTTCAGGATCTTGGTCCTAGTTTTCAGGGTTAAATTTGTTTCCCTTTTTTTTGTTCATAGTTTCTTATTCGTAGGTCACCATGCTTTTCAACAGGTTGGCACTGGTCAGGGGAAGGATTGTTTAAGGTCCAGTTGGATGTAGGGTCTTCCGTGGCTTTTGACAGAGCGCTGTAGAGACCCCAGTTCCTCCGTGCCATTTTCTGCTCGCCTGGGTGAGCCGCAGTTTCTCCTAGGCGATCAGTCGAACGGTGCAGAGACCTGTCTGTTCACCCAGGCCGTCGTAGCAGCCGGTTGGAGGACGCTGCAGAACTCTGTGGCTGCCGTGGGTATCCATGTGCTTTTGTATGGCAGAAAAAAAGAATCTCCTAACCTAGACTGATGCTTAAGTGGGGCGGGTGGACTCGCTGGAGATCTTAGGCAGCTTTTCTGATGTAGGCTGTTGAGTGGAGCCACTCTGTGCATTTCTGAACTGGCTGGGGCATCAGCGAAGGCTGGGGTACTTGTATCTGGGGAGAGGGAGACGGAGAAGGAACAGTACGCTAACGCTGCTTTGTGCATTAATAAGGAGCGTGAAATCCACATCTGGGTGAGAAAGCAGCTAGGGAAGCTCACACCTTCCACCTTCATATGCTGTAGTGTGGGAAGCGGTCCTCTCCGACCACCAGGGGCTTTTTCTTGCATGGCAGCTCTTCACCGAGTATTTTTGTTTTTGACCCGTGCTTTTTAAGAACATAAGAAGATCCCTGTTGAATCAGACTAGTGGTCCATCTAGTCCAGCATTCTGTCTCACACCAGTGGCCAACCAGGTCCTCTGGTGGGCCAACAATAGGGCACAGAGGCCAAGCCCTTCCCCTGATGTTGCCTCCTGGAACTGGGATTCAGAGGTTGACTGCCTCTGAACATGGAGGTTCCCCTCAGTCACCATGGCTAGGAGCAGGGGTCGTTTCGTAGAAAAAGAGCTAGGGGGACTCATTAGCATAACTCATTAGCATATGCCACACCCCCTGACATCACCGGAAGTGTGTCATGAGGCCACACACCCCGCCCCCAACGGTCCCGGCTGCCGCCGGCGGCCTTGCAGCTCCACTGCCGGCGGGGGGGCAAGGAAGCCCCGCGAAGGCCCTCCCTGGCCCCAGGCAGGCAGGGGTGGGGAGAGGCAGGGAGGAAGCAACTTACCCTCCCTCTTCTCCTGCCTCCTCCTGGCTGAATGAGGGCCGGAAGCGGGGCAGCCGGAAGCGGTGGGCGGGGCTTCGTCATGTGCCCCGCCCCCCGTACCTCACCCGGGGGAACTGCGATCCCCCCCGAAATGACCTCTGGCTAGGAGCCATTGATACACTTGTCCTCCATGAACGTATCTTATCCCCTTTTCAAGCTGTTTATTCCTGTGGCCATCATTACATCCTCTGGCAGCGAATTCCACGTTTTAATCACGCTCTGTGTAAGGTAGTGTTTCCTTTTGTCCATCCTGAACCTCCTGCCCATCAGCTTCATCGGATGCCCTCCGATGTCTTTTGGGAGAGGGAGAAATATTTCTCTCTGTCGACTCTCTCCACCTCATAGGTAATTTTATAAACTTCTGTCATGTCCTCCCTTAGTGGTCTCTTTTCTTAACTGGAAAAGACTCTTCAGCCTTTCCTCATAGGGAAGGTGCCCAACCCCCTAATCATCTTGGGCAGCAGCAGCAGAGTCTAGCTAGATCTGTGTTCCGATCCTCCCAGAATTTTTTTTTAAAGCTCATAGAAACTGAATGAGTTATGTGGGACTGGGTGGAAGGGAAGAGAGGGGGTGTAATTCTTTTCCACTTATCATTATTCTGGCTGGTAACTGGCTCTTTCTCTCTCAAAGAATAAAGTGGTTCATGTTTCCTTTCTTTTGAAGGCAATGACAGCATCAGGAACAGGGATAACAGTTTTGATCGGCAAAACCACATGGGAAGGGGAAGAGTTGGATCCCCTCTGCCGATCCCTGATCCGAACCGGACCCCCATAGAATGTTTTAAGACCATCGGTTTGGCCTGCAGACATTCCCTTTAAGCTGAGTGAGTGTGAGCTAGCTCACAGTTTTTTATCCTTCAGCTCACACATTTTTGTCATAGCTCAGGAAGGAGGGCTCCAAGGCAAACTGACTTATGCAGTAGCCAATTCACCTGCTCACAACTTTAATGCCAGCAGCTCACAAAGTAGAATTTTTGGCTCACAAGACTCCACAGCTTAGAGGGAACATTGCCTGCAGTGCATTGTGGGTGGGGGTCCTGTACTTCTCTTGAGGCTGGAGTCATTCCAGATTGTATAAAGGGGGAGGGGGAGATCAACCCAACAACTTAAATCTCACGATGTTCAGGTTAGTGGTGGTGGGAATGCTGCTCGAGCTGACTTACGGCAGCCCCGTAGGGTTTTCAAGGCAAGAGATTGCGCACTGAGGTGGCTCGCCATGGCCTGCATCTGCGTGGCAACCCTGGTCTCCCATCCAAATACTAACCAGGGCCGACCCTGCTTAGCTTCCGAGATCTGCCGAGACCGGGCTAGCCCGGCCCACCCAAGTCAGGGCAACGTTCACCTGACTAGGAAGCATTTCTGTGACAAGATGGGGAGCCTGCCGTCGTGTAAATGGTTTAGATCTTCTCTTCCTCTCTGCTTTATTCTGTTGCCTCCTTCCACCTTCCCGTTCCCCCCCCCTCCCGCACACCTAGCTAAAGATTAAAGATTCCCAAGACCCCACACTTAGAATCTAACATCGCTCTCTGGCCAAGGAGGAGAGCCTCATTCACCTTAACTTTTCTTTGCAATGCGAAGCGATGTCTCGTCGTTCCGGCACCACGCGCGCGTGTGTGTGTTGGTCCGTGCTCTCTAGTAACCCCGGAGAAACCTCTCTATTGAATAATCCAATTAAACTTTGTAATCTTGCAAGGGATCAAGACTATCCCATAGAGGGGTGAGTTCTAAGCTCATTCGGATACGCGGTGTTCTGCTCTTACGTTCCCCACGGCTTTATCTTCCCCGCGGGTTCCCAGCCTCCAGCTGGTTGTAGTGTATCCAAAGGAGAGCTCACGGGAGGAGGTCTCAAAACACAAACACAAAACACAAACACTCCGTGTATAACAGTATAAATATGAAGACACTCTGTGAACGAATTATGAACAAAAGCAGAAAACTTGTATCGTATGAAACAATTCAAACAATTTGGAATCTTTGTTAAAGAACCCTTATATGTATATATATTTTAAAGAGCTAGGATCAAAAAGTACTTAATACAAAGGGAGAATAGAAGTAGAGTCCACAATTCCTTTGTATAAAAAAACCTTCAGGAGTACAATAGCTCCACGTCTTATGTGACCAACACTATTGCAGAAGCCTAATCGGCAGAAAGAGAACCTATCAGTGGAGCAGATGGAAAACTAGTGAAGGAGAACTGTTGAAACTCTATTTCATTCACAGCTAAAGAGTACCAGCTATCTGAAGAAGCGAAATGTGAACGCGGCAGCGAAGCCAGCTGTATATAGCTGTACTCACAAAAAACCAAGAAAACTAGCTTCACTATCTAACACGTTCCAGGACTTGCGTTAGATGGCACAAACCTTAAATCCAAGGATCAAAAGGGCCATAGCTCAGTCGTTCTCTTCGTTGCTAGCAATTGCAATTCAAGCGTGCCATAGTTCAGGTCTTCAGTGCATCAGAATCCAAGCTAGCCTTCTTTTCCAGGTTCTTAGCTCAATTATAGTTTTTTTGGCCCAGCAGCATCAGGTGATGGTGACATCCAGCCAGCGCACAGTCTTGCTGGGACCCTCTAGAAAAGTACCTCGCCCCTCCTGACTTCCTCCCGCCCATCCTGTGGGCCACAGGTCCTCCTGAGAAGCCAATTGCCACTTTTCAGCTCTGGCCTTGAAGATGATAAGGGCTGTGGAGGCCGAGAAACCAATTAGTAACACCTGCAGGGTGGAAGGTGCCCAGTACCAGGCACATTAACCCGTGAGGGGGCAGTCAGGAGGGCTTTGCCTCACAGCATCCCTGACTGGATTGAGCTAAGGACTGTGAACACCCTTGCGAAGACATTCGTTCAAATAAGGGAAGATCGGTGACTTGGCGACACTCGCACTGGAATCCCTCTTGGATCGGCTCTTCTTTTGGCGTGGCGGAGGCCTGCTGTCAGCTCCGCTCCAGCCCGGCACAGATCTGGCAATCCTGTTTCACATTTCTTTTGATAGACTTCCAGAATTAGCTGTGGTGCCATAAGTAATCATGTCAGTGTACTTTATCGACAACAGAATTTTAAAAACACCATGTTCTACATAAAAATGGGGGCAGTGGGGCGGTGGGGAGAGAGAATGGACTTTGGAAATACGGGGACCACTCGTGATTATCTAGTCATTCCATGTTTGTCCCCAATGAAACCGTGTCAATCTGGAGACTAATAAACAAGTTCTATCAAAGATGGTACCTTTTGGTGGTCTCTTCTTATGCTTGGAGAGGTGGAGGCTCGCCGCAAGTGGTGCGTGCGTGGAAGAGGATGTGTGTGGAAGGAGGAAAATAGGGGAAGGGGGGCGGAGAAGGATGGGACCTACCAGGGGGGAAAGAGAGATTCTTCCAAGTTTTCAGGGACAAGGAGGTTGGCACGGATTGGGATTCACTCGCTGAAGCGTTGGCTCCAAGCCTCTGCTTGTTTTGATCGGTGATTAATTATTATTTGGGATGCGGCCCAGTTTTATTTTGTTAGGTTTTATCTCACCCGTTCTTTAACACATGAAGCTGCCTTGTACTGAATTAGACCTTTGGTCCAGCAAAGTCAGTATTGTCTACTCAGACTGGCAGCGGCTCTCCAGGGTCTCAGGCAGAGGTCTTTCCCATCACTTACTGCCTCGTCTTTTCAACTGGAGATGCTGGAGACTGGACCTGGGATCTAGTGCATGCCAAGGAGAAGCTCTTCCACTGAGCCACGGCCCCTCTAGAAGGACACATGAGCACATGAAGCTGCCTTCCAGTGAATCAGACCCTCAGTCCATCGAAGTCAGTATTGTCTACTCAGACCAGCAGCTGCTCTCCAGGGTCTCAGGCGGGGGTCTTTTCACATCACCTACTGCATGCTCTCCAGTTTGGTGTAGTGGTTAAGTGCGCAGACTCTAATCTGGGAGAACCGGGTTTGATTTCCCCACTCCTCCACTTGCACCTGCTGATGTGATCTTGGGTCAGTCACAGGCTATGGCACAGCTGTCCTTGAAAAAGAGCAGTTTGTGTCAGAGTTCTCTCAGCCCCACCCACCTCACAGGGTGTCTGTTGTGGGGAGGGGAAGGGAAAGGAGTTTGTAAGCCGCTCTGAGACTCCAAGTGAAGGGCGGGGTATAAAGCCAATCTCTTCTTCTT